AAGGCCCGATCGCGCCCAGGGGACACCTGCCATCAGCGCCTGGGGTCGGCCGCCAGCCTCCACTCCCGTGCGTGGCCTGTTGCAAACCTTCAGCGTCTGAGGGAGCCTGGGCCCGTGCTACCCTGGCTCTTTCTGACACCTCCGCAGGGGCGCTGCACACGGGAGCCCCAGCGCGAAATCTGTAACCAAGGGCTCCAGAGGGCGGACGCTGGAAGCATCCGCCTCACGCACAGGCCAGCGTGAGGCCTGCGCAGTCCGTTTCCCTGCTCCAGGCTCCACTCTCAGGTCCTGGCGATGGAGCCAACGTATCGGGTTCTCTATGAAAACAACAAGGATTGAGCGTTCACATTATATTAACAATCCCCCCGCCAGTCCTGGGCTTTCGTAGCCATAAAAGGTTCCTTCCGACATAGCCACGGGAGGTGGAAATACACGTGCCCATTGGAAGCCACGCGCCGGAGCGCAGTCCGCCACGCACCCGCTGCCGTGGGAAACAGAGCGACACGCAGGCCTTTGCAGTGTGGGCTGACGGGCGCTCGGACACCCCGGAGCGTGTCCGGGCCGTTGCAGCGGTGGAACGTGGTGCCAGGTAACGTTTTATAGCGAAGGTGGATTTTTTTCCTTTCGGCGTTTTTGGCGCTCGGTGCGTGTGCGTCCCCATCTTCCCGCCTCTTATATCTGACCTAGGCCCTCCCAATAATCACGCCGCAAATGCTGATCCAAGCCCTGGCTCCTTTCTTGAGGAGGTGGAAAGGAGCAGGCGGCAGATAGCCCCGGGGGGCCGGAGGATGCAAGCCGAAAAGAGGCAGCTGAAAGGCCCGTGAAAGAGCAGGGCCGTGCCACACAACAATGCAGGTCTGATTACAAGAGCTGCTGGCAGGCGCTGTTGGCAAATCTCAGCCCTTTGAAGGGCTCGTCTCTGCTGGGGGCAGCCAGTTAGGCCTGGACATACTGAGCCTCGTTGCCCTGGGAGATGAAATACAAGACACGCTTGGGGGAGAGCCACGGGCCTGCATCCTGGCTCTCGTGCCTGCACCCTGGTGAAGAAGACCCCCTAGAAAGGCAGCTCTGAGACAAGGGCCTGGCCCTCCCGTTTCCTTAGGTCATGGAGTAGCGAGGCACCCTGGTGCCAGGGCCTTGGAGCTCTGTGAGATGCCCCGTGTGGCCCTGAGACGCGGCCAGGCCAGCGGCCGTGCAGTGCCCTTCGGAGCAGGAGGAAAGGCCCATCTGTGCTTCACGCTCCCGCGGCCGGAGGGGGAGTCTGGAGCGTGCTGAGTCACCGCTGGGCGAGTGCTCAGGGCTGGACAGTGCCAGAGAAGCTGTGCGGAGCTACACCGGGCAGCCCAGGGTGGCCGGGAAATAGCCAAGCTCTGAAAGAAGCGGGCCCGATCCTGCTGAGAGCGGCCTGGGCTTCCCTGGGGCGCTGCTGCCCGCGAGCAGGAGCTCAGCAGCGCTGCAGGCTCAGGGCCCGGGTGGCAGCTGCGGGGAAGGCAGCTGGAGAGCAGCAGTGACCTAACCCCTGCAGGCCTCCTGGCCAGGACAGGTAGGACTCAGGGCCACTGTGTGGTGGGGCAAACGCTTCCCTCAGTCACACGGCTGGAAAAGCGGAGGCCAGAGGGAGCCGCCCTGGGGTCCAGCCAGTCCACGGCCAGCCACAAGCCCTCCCGAGCAAGGTGCAAGAATCTCCCGAGGGGAAAATTACAGAATAACCTGCTCCCCCGCCCGTCAGTGCCCGGCTCACGCGCTAGAGTCTGGGGCTGGGTGCCTCTGGCGTGGCTTCGTGCGGTCACGTGCCACGGTGAACGTCTCCTGCCGGGGTGAAGGCGGGCGAGCCAGCTCCAGGTCCAATGGCCCACCAGTGCCGCCCCTCAGGGGAGGTCCCAGACGGAGCCCAGCCGTCCTTTGGCGGAGAGGCTGCCCCTGCCCGGGTTTAATGGCGCCGCGCCTCTGGGCAGCACGTGGGCCGAATGAGCCAAGTGCGGCTCTCCAAGGGATGCTGGCACGAGGGCGGTGGGGAAAGGGCCAGCCCCACAGGAGGGGAGGCAGCCGGGATGGACCGTCACTGAAGGAGCTGCCTGCCGACCGAGCTGCTCAACGTGTCAAACGGGGACAGGACCATTGATGTGCCGTGTCAAGACCTATGCGGTGGGGCCGTGCCCCAAGCCTGGCCCCTTCTGCTCCTGCCTGGCCCAGCACCAGTCTCCCCTCCCCCCTCCCCGCTTGGCTCTGTCCCCCACTCCCATGGACGCGCTGCCTTGGTCCAACCTTCCAATCCGATCCCCCCCCCAGCTCCCCATCCCAGGCCCCAAGCCGACCTCCTTCGGCTCCTCTTCCCAGCCACTCCCCGGTTCTTTGTCCCACTCTCCCCACCCTTCTCCTCTCTGCCTGGGCCCCAGAGACAGCAGGGAGACAGGCTCGTGGGGCACGCAGCAGTGCCGGTTACGGGAAAGTCGTGAGTCCTGGGCTGGGCAGGCATGGTCACTCTGCAGCCTGGCCCGACAGAGGGGCTGGAGCGTGCTCAGTGAGGACCGAGTGTTTGGGGAGTTTAGCTGCCCCACTCCAAGTCCAGAGGGGAGCAGAATCGGATGCCTGCCCCGCGGCCCCAGCCTTTGGGGGGCCCTGTGATTCCGCGTTACCTGGGGCTCCTCAGACAGCGCCATGGTGACGTAGCACAAGGGCGATTTCACGCCACCGTCGCTGGGGAGGGGAGAAGTAGGCACCCCAAGCGCTGCTGAATGGGACCGTTTATAAATAGCCCCAGAGGAATAAAGGGCAGAGGCCGCAGGGCTCTCAGGAGCTTGCCAGGCACCTGGATCGCTTTGCTGTTCCACTTCGCCTCCCCGGGGCACAACACCCCGCAGAGCAGGCAGGGGACGCGCGATCATGGGGCGGGATGGGGCTGGGCTCGGACGGACGGCCCGTCAACCACACGGCTCCAGCCAGCTCTGCGCTGAAGCCTTGATTCCCCAGCGTCGGATTTCTGAACGCAGCGCCGAGAAAAGCGAGAATCTACCCCTTGTCCTCCCCAGCTGCTTTGGCTCAGCTTGGGGGCTGGAGGGCCACGAAATCCTTGCCCACCCGGAGCCCGTCCTTGCCGGGAGAGCAGGCCAGAGCTGTAACCGGGTCAGTCATCTTCAGTAATGAAACGAGCTGCTGGCCACCTGTGAGCGCCGGCTTAGGGACTCTGAGCCTGGGCGCCCAGCAACGGCTCTCGCATCCCACTTTATTGACAGCAACGGCGGCTTCCTGACAGCGATTCCAGGGACACGCGCCCCTGGGAGAATCCTCCCCCGCCCCCAGGAGCGCGAGGCAGCGGCTGTGCACCGGCCCCCACCACACTGCACAGCGGTTTAAGGAATGAGCCAGATGGGACATTTTTCACAGCCTGAGCCCTGTAGCTGGGTGGATCCGCTTTGTGCCAGTCCTGTCTGAGGCGGGTCAGCCAGGCAAGGCCATGGTAGAATAACAACCTCCCTGGGTGGTTAGCCACGTTTCTACTCAGGCTGGCGTCTGAAGCAGGGTGAGGGGGACCTGCCTTAAGAAAGCGCTTTGCCCGAGGACGCTGCTCTCGGATACGCGGGGAACATCCCTGGGGCTGGCCCCTGCTCTCAGGGAGCCTCGCGCACGGCCGGGGTCACTCCGGTTTACAGCAGGGATGTGCTCAGGGGAGTCACACTTGCACCCGGTGGCCAAATGAGCGTGCGTCGAACCGATCACCGATGGGAAACCCAGACATAAAACGTCTGCTTCCCTTCCCTCCAGCCACTCACAATGCGGCCCTCAGGGGCTCGGCAGCCATGGCTACAGAGGACCCTGGGCTTCCGCCTTACTTGAGCTACGTGGACTCCAGCGCTGTCCTGTCAGGTACGGCGACAGCAGCGCAGACGTACAGACCCTCGACCCACAGCACCCCACGGCAGGGGATCAGACGGGCAGCTTACAAGCTCCCTGCCCGTGGCTAAGGCAGTCGAGGGAAGAGCGAGGGAGGCATTTGCTTGTGGGGAGCCCCTCTGTTTCCTGGGTGTCCCCGTCCCTCCCGGGCCTGTCTGTGCTCCCCAGGGGGCGTCACTGTGCCGGGAGGTAGCGCCCCCTGGCTGTGAGGGGCAGGAGAGCAGGCACCTGCAGGGTGGTTTGTCTGCCTCATTCTACACATCTCCTTGTGCCCCCCCTGCTACGTACTGTCAGCTCACCCCCCAGTGCCTCTCACGCAAGACGGGGGCCCTCTGTCCTGGCCACGCCACTCCCCTGCGTAACCTGCCACTCCCTCCCTCGGCTGCTCCTCATGCAGCCCCCCCAGCCTGACAGTCTTCCACCGGGGCTGGGGACACTCCAAACTCCAGGGCAAGCTGAGGAAAGGGAGGAGAGGGCAGGGGAGGGGGTTGGGTTTAACGGGGGCAGGGAAGGGAAAGGAAACAGCTCCAGGCTGCAGTGCAGCCGGGAGGGCAGCCCGCGGGTGGCAGGGGACAAAGGCGCAGCCCCAGGAGGGAGGCGGGAGCTAAGGGGTCAGGGCCTTGTATGGCACCGAGCTCGAGCAGAAGCGAGGGGAAGGCCGGGATGGGGTGATGGCGGCTGGAGGGACCGTTTCAGGAGCAGAGCGGGGAGAGGGTAGCTCTGAGCGAGACGCACCCCTGGCCCAGCATTTGGGGCTGAAGGGGGGCAGACTCCAGCCCCGCTTCGCCTGCGTTCCCACCACAGGCACCATCCAGCACCTCAGAGGGGACTCTGGGGGTGTCTCGCTGCCGGGGGAGGGGTGTCAGAGTCTAATCACAGCCTGTCCTCCACACTGCATCTTGGGTACCAAGACTGGGAGCCGCAATGCGGGGCCAAATTCCCTGGCTAGTCCAATAGGCCAAGGACATTGACCAGCAGTTCTTGAACCACCGCGGAGTCCCATCCTCCCTTGAGAAGGGGTGTGGGGCCGAGACGCTGCTGCCAGGGAGGGACGCGCACGACTGAGCTCAGAGCCGGGCAGGACAGTAAAGGGGCCGCAGATGTCCAGGTACTCAGCATAAAACCATTTATTCGAAGCCGCTCGCTCTACCCATGCAGCCCGTCGGCCTGCCAGGCTCCAGCAGGATCTGCTGAGCTCCGTGAGACTGTCCTGCTGTCACAGCATGAAGGGCCAGGCCGGGGAAGCTGAGATATGAACAGTGCTGGCTAGGCAGGGGCAGAACGTGGCTGCAATGGGAGCATGTGTGGACAAGCCCCCGCACACACGCAGGGAGTAAAGAACAGCCACTCCGGCCATGCAGGGCGGGCGCTGGGCAGAGCCAGCTGGGGGCGGCTGTGTGAGGCACCCAGAGGACAAGGGGAGCCCATGGCAATAACTCCACGTGCAGGTGGCTCCCAGCCACGGCTCCGAGCGGAAAGGCCGCTGCGCTCCAGCAGGCCGTTAGCTGCACTCAGGTTGGGCCCGGGCAGTTCTCTGGCCACCCTGGAGTGAGCGGTTGCACTGCCCCGAATGGGGATCCGGGCCCAGCCCCATGGGGCAGGCACCGTCCATGAAGGAGGGCCGGGTGGGCTCGGCTTCCAACCCCTCCCCGATCCCTCTCCCGGGTCTCCCCGCTGCACCAGCCCTGGAAAAGCCCGGGCCCACGATGGTGAACATGGCAGCCCAGGGAGTCTCCCTGCCACTGCTGAGGGGGCGGGTCAGAACCTCCTTTAACTCCAGGGAACGTGCCTGAGACGGTCACGGCGGGCGAGTCTCTGAATCCACAGGCCGCTCCTGCAGGAAGAGGGGCCCGGCCTCACTGGCCGCCGCGGGCCCCGCGAGCCAGGCCTCTTGCAGCGGCTGCGGGGGGCGCAGCGAGCACCGTGTCTAACCCGGTCGCTTTGAACCCTTCTCCTTCCTTCCCAGCACTTGCGCGATGTAACTCTCCTGTTGCTTCTGTATTTGAAAGTCGGACACTTGAGTCCTGCAACACAGAAACAAGCCGGCCCCTCAGGAAGCGGCCGTGCTAATGCTAATGCCTCAGCCATTCTCCGGGTCGCCGCCTGCCCAGGGTAACCAGGGCCCTTCAAAGTAATCGCTGAATCGATCAGTGGCCGGCGTAAGGAGGAGGCTCCGTTTCCCCACAGCGAACGGTGCCCAGGTGGGAGCCCTCACAAGCCAGGGCTCCGCTGCTTTCAGGCCTTGGCACTGGTCAGGTGATGCCCTGTCCCTGGTGTCCAGGGTGAGCCGAGTAAGTCAGAGCCAGGCATGGCAGGGGCCGGCCCTTCAAAGTAATCGCTGAATCGATCAGTGGCCGGCGTAAGGAGGAGGCTCCGTTTCCCCACAGCGAACGGTGCCCAGGTGGGAGCCCTCACAAGCCAGGGCTCCGCTGCTTTCAGGCCTTGGCACTGGTCAGGTGATGCCCTGTCCCTGGTGTCCAGGGTGAGCCGAGTAAGTCAGAGCCAGGCATGGCAGGGGCCGGGACTGCGGGGATCCATGGGGCTGACATGCCTTGTCCCTGCCTTATCCCCCTCCCCCGCACTACCGCCTTGGTTGGAGTCGGCAGAGGCAACCGAGCTAGAGCCCTCTCGCTTTGCATGCCGGGTATTCTCGTGAGGGGCCAACAGCCTTGGCGCCTCTTCCCCTCCCGCCTGCTCTGAGGGAGCGCCGGCCTGTCGGGCGCCGCGTGGGCTCTGGGGCGGGAGGGCCTGACAGGGCAATGGGGCAGGGGAGCCAGGGGCTTCGCTTAGCAGGCGGGAACGTGACAGGAGGTGACGTCCAAGGCTGCTGGCGAGCGTTAAACCCCAGACGACACGGCACGGCCACCGAGCTCCGGCCAGACGCCCAGTGGCGGCAGCGCGAGGCTGACAACGACCTGAGGGCAGAGCCCCCCCGTCCATAGGACGATTCGGGCCAGCACCTCAGCGTCCTATGGACGGGTCCCAGGGTGGCCCCGAGGGTTGGGGGAGGGGGGGCCTGGCGCAGGGCGGCAGCAGGAGGCAGAGTGGCCTGGTCCCGGGGGTGGCGGGGCAGGACAGAGCAGCTCCAGCTTCCGCCACCGGGTGAGTGGAGGACGGGCGACCCCCGCTGCTGGGGGAGGGGGTTGGGGGAGGGCTGGACCGGGAGAGGAGCAGAAGCAGGGCCGGCAGTGGGGGATTGCCCCAGGCCCGGCTGCGGGCCTCAGGAGGTCGCACGTACCTGAGAGTTTGCTTCTGCTTGGTGATGCACTGCTGCAGCTCCTTAATTTCATTCTCTTTCTCGGTGAGGAGACCCTCCTGTTTCATAATGTGGCTCTCAATTTCTACCAGAGGAAAACAGAGAGGCTTAAAACGCATTTGGGGGGCAGCCAACCGTAGGTGCGGTCCTGTTCCCTCTGTTATCGCCCCTGCCGCTGGGACTTTATTGGTTGGCCTTTGTTTTCGTACAGCATCAGCTCCCAACACGACACAGAAGCCACGGGGAAGATGGCCTGGACCCCGAAATGGAGGGGAGCTCTGCCAAGAGTGGCATCGACGCCGCCTGCAATACTGGGGGCTCAGAGCCCGTCAGTGCTGGATTATTGTGCGTCTGCTCACACCCACAACTGCCTGCAGCACCGGCACAGTCCCTAGGCAGGGCAGCGAAGGGAGGACGGCTGGTG